GATTTAAGTTATGTTACTATCTACGTTATGTAATTATAATCTTGAGACTCGTTATTTTGTTACAAACTCAAAGTATGTATGAAGTTTCTTTAAATCTATTAAGTAGGACTTGTTTAATTGAAAATTGATACTATGAAAAATATTTTAATTTTTGCATTTCAAAAACTTGAAAATTGTATAATTGACTAATGGTATGAATTATTAAGTAAATATAGCATTTTATCATTCTAGATTTTTTATATGTATTATTTTAATTATTAAATAATTTTTAAAGTGTTTAAAAATTTAAATTAATATTAAAAATAAGAAAAGTTTTTCTTAGGCGTAAACCTCATTTAAGCTCGCTTAAACTCATAAAGCTTAAAGATTCATGCCATGTTTAGCCATGCTTTACGTTTTTTAGAATAATGGGTAGTTGTAACTAATTAGTTTGGTAATTTGTGATCGATTAAACAATTGTTTGATTTTCATTATTCTCAAAGTACATTTTTATCTTCTTTTTAGCCACGCATTCTTTAATAAAGTAATATTACATGCATGCTCAAAACTTTTATTTGTTTTTTGAAACATATTCTCCATTAGTCCACTATTTCAAAATGCATTCTTAACCCAAAAATGGGGCTCAAATAAGTGATAAATAAGTTGTGATAAATTAATTTGATAACTTGTGATTGAGAAATAAGTTGCGACTAATAAAATGTGTAATTTGTCAATGTGATGTTCTGTGATTGTAATCAGTACATAACTGTGATCATAAACTACATATTACTGTTGCATTAATCTGTTTAATTACTCATTTAATAATAAAACCCATTTAATAACATATTTTATTAATACCAATTGATTTTTGAATGAATTTCACAATTTATCAAATTTGAAAGTATATCTTTAAATGTTAATAGTTATGTATTTTTTTCCCTTTAAAAATATATATCTTGATTTTGTCCATTTTACGATTTTTGTTTTAAAAAAAAAATCCATTATGCCTGTTTGAGCCCCAAAGAATACATTTTGGAAGAGCAAATTGATAGAGAATGTTAGTTAAAAAATAAGAAAAAGTTTTGATTTGTGTGCAATATTATTTTATTGAATGATGCGTGGCTGAAAAAAAAAAGACAGAGTAAAATATATTTTGAAAATAATTGGGATCGAAAACCCCTACCCAGTTCATAATGAAAATATTTTCATTTTTTTTATTTCATGTGTTATTATTTTTATCATCTTGACATCAAGCTATTTTTCCGCAAGACCTCCCCTGCAGTATCGTCACCGTAGTAGAGTTTAACCACCAATTTTGGCATGGATTGATGAGAAATATATCTCATGGGTATCTAAATGTTCGGATTTTTGTGATTATTTTTCAACATAGGTAACTCAAAAATAAATAAATAAATAAATAAATTCATTTGCTTAATGAATTTAAAAGCAAAAAAAAAAAAACCCTTTTTTACAAACCTAATTCGCTCTTTTGATTTCGAAAAAAACCTTCTTTATTAATACACTGCTTCTTTTATATACGCATCTCCGTTGAATGACCCCTAAATATATATAGTTGATGAGATGTGTGGTTGAAATGTTGTAGGACCCATAAAACATGTGATTAAAACGAATTGTTGACTTCAACTTAAATTCAAATTCAAATTTTAATTAGTATCAAACAAGGGCTAAAAAAAAATTAAAAAAAATCGATAAAGTACATATGCTAAAATCTTCTTGACAATTTCTATTACAAACTGATGTGGTGCTTGTTTACTAATCCTTCAATAAGTATTCATTGAAAACAAACCACTATCTACTATACCTACACAATCACAAATATGTAGTTATCTTAACACCATTCATAGCATGTTTGACCTAAGATTAAAGAAATAAGTTTAATTAGGTTATGTAGTTATCTTAACACCATTCATAGCATGGTGCGTTAGATTAGATTATACAATAACTTTATATAAAAGTATAATGAGTATTACTAGATAACGAGTATTACTAGATAGAGAGCATTATAGTTGGATTAAGGTGAATAATATTATTTCTTTTTTTTAATGTTGTTTGTTATGTTTTATCTAACCGGTATAAACCTACCTCCAATCTTCATATAAAGGTCAAGCCTTATCCTAAGCGGGCAAGCCAATTAACTTTTAAGAGTAAAAGTTAGGTCCAAAGTGGATTTGCAAAGTTTTGTGTCCAAAAAATCAATTTATCAAGTTGTAATTAGGGCTAAGTTGTCAGCGATTGAGAGTGTCTTTGGAAGGGATCAAAGTAAACTCAAAAAGATTAAGATGAGGTAAAAATTGCCTTATGGTCGCCAAGCAGACGACTCGAGTGGTTTATTTATTAGTTAACCACCAGTTGGCTACCTGTGGTCCGCTCGAGAGGACATGTTACTAGGCAAAACCCTATATTGCAATTTTCGACTTTTTAACAATCTCAAAAAACCCATAACCCTTCATATTGTAAATATTCAAGCAAAAATTCGTCCCTATTGTGTGTTAAGTCATTATTCATCCAAGAGAACATCCTTTAAGAACATACATTGATTCCAAGTTTCTAGTGCCTCAACCACAAGATAAAAACACTACAAAGTCCTCTGCCAAATATTCTTCAGATAAAAACCCTAAAAGATGATCGAAGTTCTAGTTCATGAAAAACAAGTTCGTTCTTGATAATTCACGAGGAGAAAAAAGCATAAAGGTTTTCGGAGGTGGTGTTGGAGCGTACAATCGATGAGTTCTTTGATGATTGATCAGAGTATACTAAGGCGTGTCTAGAATAATCCTATAAGGTTAAGCTTTTCAATTGGATTATTTACTGGTAATTTTGCTCAAAAGTTTTTTGTCAAGAGTTCTTCAAAGGTTTTACTTCATTAACAATTATTGTTGTTATTTATTTTTCAGTTTAGCTATTATTACTTGATTGATTATTAGGGTATAGTTTGTTATTCAATTCAACCCATGTTTGATGCTCATTATCTGAAAATTATTTATTCTATATATTCATTTTCAACCACATTCTTACAATAAAATATTTTGCATGTAAATCTAAATTTTTTCCATACTTTTTAATTACATTCTCCTAAAAATTATTATTCAAAATATTATTTTGGTCAAATAATCATCTAGATACAATGATTTGTGACTTGTTGCATCATTGTTCGTTAATTTTTAATTCTGCATATTACACATGTACATGTTCACTCCCTCCAAGTAAGTTGAACCTCGATTATTTAACTACGTATCAGCCCAGTAAAAATAAAATATAGTCCCTTGACTTCGTCCCTTGTTAACAGTGCAAATGACTATCTATCGGACTAAAGTCAAAGAATGATATACACTACGTAGCCTAATGCTACAAATATTGTAGTCAATTATTTTTTATTGTATTAAACTCAAACTAATATTATAAACATTCTTTTTTATGTCCCATTTCATATTAATATTAGAAGCGGAAAAAATAAAAATTATTTGCAATTTGCAAAGATAGAAATGACAAACAAATTCCATATAAGTTGGAAAAGAAAAAATCACCATAACCATAAGAATTAGATTTCCATGAAATTAGCCAAAAACATACTTTTAAGTGTTTGTACCCTGAAATTTAAACTCCAATTCCATTTTCGTATCAAACAGTCAAAGTAAAAAACGAATTCGTCGGATGTGACTTTTCCAATGGAATTGGGTGCTAAACAAATTGTACAACTAGACAATTTAAGTTTTCAACTAGACATATTCTGTTGAATAGAAATAGTTTGAACAACTAATCAGTAAAATAATATAAATATATAAAAAAAAATAGGTTATTTTTCAAAGTTGATTATATAAAAAAATCACTTAGTGTCCATTTGATAAAAGTCCATATTTGAATCCCATTTCAGTTTTTTTTTTCAACCCATATTTTCTTAATAAAATAAATTTTTATGAAACCCAAAATATTTTCCTACTTTTAACAATGCAATCTCCAAGAAAACTTAGGGGCGTTTGGTTTGCCGTTTTCTAGCTATTTTTTGTTTTTAGTTTTCTAAAATGCCCAAAACACGTTTGATCACTCGTTTCGGAAAATGCACTTCTGAAAAATAAAGAAAAATTTAAAACTCAAAACGATTTTTTTTTTATTTTGAGTGTTTCAGTTAAAAAATTCAAAACGCTTAAAACATGCCGCTTTCAGGGTTTTTTTAGGGAAGTCAGCATTACTGTTAAAATAGTTAATTCACCAAATTTAAAATATATATTATCTAGTATATGTTTTGCTAAATAATCAAATTAATTGAATAAATGTCATAAAACAAATTTTAAACATTTATTTTTTATAATTTTATTTTGTAGCAACAAAAATAGTAAATTCATCAAGTTTAAAATATATATTATCTGGTAATATATTAACATAAAATTATTATGTTTTACTAAATAATCAAATTAATTGAATAAATGTCATAAAATAATTTCTTAAAATTTATTGTTTATTATTTTATTTTTGTAGTAAGAAAAAATAGCAAATTTACCAAGTTTAAAATATATATTATCTGATAATATATTAGCATAAAATTATTATATTTTACTAACTAATCAAATTAATTGAATAAACGTCATAAAACAATTTCTAAAAATTATAAAACAAATGTATTTTCTAATTTTCTGTTTTGAGAAACCGTTTTTTATAATGACAAACCAAAGACGTTTTCTATAATTCGAAAATTGTCCTTCAAAATAGAAAACGCTAAACGAAAACGCAAATCAAACGCACACTTACTTTTTATAAAATATATTTTTAGAAATGGGGTTAAATCGGGGGCTAAGTAATAATATTATTTATTATTTTAGTTGTACATTGTGCATTAATTTATCTAGTCAATGGTCTTAAAATAATTAAAATAATAATAAAATTTTTAATTTTTTAGAATATTGGAATTGAAGTTTACTAGTGTGTTTACCTCATAATTAAGAGTTCACTAACGTGATTGCAAGGAAAGCTAAATTTAAAGTTTGCTAACTTGGTTGAATGCATAGAAAATCCGTTGCTTTTAGTGGCCACTTCACCAATTTTAGTAACCTAATTTCAAATAAGGGTAAAGGTTCAGTGATCTCCGGTGAATTTTCCCCCGTTCATAAATTCTCCGCAAACGAAAGCTTCGCACATAAATTTTTGGCTCCTGTTCACCATGACCATTTCTCCCTTGGAAAATACCGTGTGCACTAAAATGGGGACTGTGCACCAGTGTCAAGAACGAATTTAACCATAAAAGCCAGCAACCATGTTCTCTTCCCACGCTTCTCCGTCGAAGGAAGGATTGTAATTGCATTTCTCTGATTTTGTCCTTCAATCAAACTGCAGTAGTGCGGAGGAAAAGCAGGTTATCGGTTAGTAATTTAAATTCCTCCTCTCTATTTTTGGATTCCGCATTGCAAATTCTGTTTTTTATTCCTTTATTTACAGCCATTAAAAATTATTTTCGAATTTCTAGTTGACGCTACAATTTGGAACTAACTTGCAGGTAACACTGATTCCGATCAGATTATTTCCGGTAGAGTTACCTCTTCCCGTATAAATTTAGATAAATAAGTAGGGACTTCTGCTAGGGTTTTTTTTTTTTTTATATTTTATATTTTATATTTAATGATGATGTAACAGAGTAGGAGAAAAATTTAGAGGGTGGTTGGTCAGAAAATTGCATTTGATTGGGTGGTCCTATGGATAACAAGGTGAATACTCAAAACATTGTAAAAGAAATGTTTAATTGACTTTTTAAGGAATTTATTGTTGGGAATATTACACGATAAACGTGCTATTAAATTCACAAAAAGTACCTTATACATTAACGAATTCAAATTAAAGTTTTGACTTCTTAATCTGGATTTGAGAAGATAAATAATAATTATAGAATCTGATTCCGAACACATGAATATGGATTCATCCATTTCCATTCTTGAATTTCAAACTTACATGAAATCAAAGAGTATTAGTTAATTTCTGAAATCAAATATGAAGAATGAAATCAGAAATAAGGAAAATTAGATGCATGTGATACGATTGGCCAAGGCAATTGTTTGACACTTTTTCCTTGAGATGAATTTGTCCCGCATCGGTGCTAACGATTTTTCGACAATCATCTCCCAAAATACAACGATCACATCAAGCCATAGGAGCATACCAAATGGCTTCAATCAACGAACTCGAACGAAATTCCCTCTCTATCATAAACATGACTTGGATGCAAAATATAATAACTTATACAAAGTATTTTATGTAACTTGACATGAAATAAATAATATGGAATTATGGAATGAATTGGAATTACAAATACACATTCAAGGGGTTCTATATATAGAAGATGAAAGGGTTGTGGGTGAAGGGACACACCCCAAATTCAGCATTTTTTCATGAAAAATTGCAACCCAATTGTCGCTAGCTTTTCGCAAACCTCTCTATTTTCCTTCTAACTTTGGACCGCAATTTCTCATTCATCCGGAATTGGTTTTTAGATTCCAAATACGACGATCTACTCGACAAGTAGAACAAATTGGTCTATTTACTTTTGTAATTTGACCATCAGATCAATTCCGAATATTCGACCGAAGTTGACACGAAGTCACACCTTTTCATTTTGATTTTATTACTTAACCAACTTTTCAATTACTTTTGAACCAATTCCAACATTTTTATAGGTGATAGCAACTTGAAATTGTGAATGGTCCAATTCTGCAATTATCAAACTTTATGATGGAGGGAGTTGAATGTAAAGTTTTGCACCTATTGCTGTACTATATGGTGTAATTAAATGTTTGCATTGGCAGAGGGACATACGATTGATCTCACAGTTTGTTATGCTAAGAGGTTTTCCCATGATTAATTTCTTCAATACGCATATCAAATGTATAACTATGTCCTTGTTTGGTAGGGATTAAATTAAGTTTTTTAGTATATTTTGATAAAAGTTGATGAAATGTGTGGTTGAAAAGTTGTGGTTCCCATAAAATGTGTAGTTGAGATTAGTTGTTCAACTTTGACTTAGATTAAAAGAAAATTTGTCAACTTCGCTCCCGTTTGATCCCCATTAAATTCAATTAAATTATATTCCATTTTTCTCAACCCTATTTTTAACCACACAATCTTCCATAAAATAATATTACACGTAAATCGAAAATTTTTCCTTCTTTTTCAATCACTCATTTTTCTAAAAAATATTATTCCTCATATTTTCATTTTCAAGTAATGGGAGTCAAATGGGGGCTTCATCTGTGAGGTATTAACTGGAACTCCTATGGCTACTTTTTCTTGGCTTGTAACATTTAGATGGATCTCATGCGGAGATCAAATCAATTCATTAAATTTGGAAATTGGATTTAGTGGAATAGAAGGTTAAAAGAAGAGCTTCTTTCACCACCACTGGAATAAATTAAATCTTTTTTCAGACACAAAAACGGAATTATCAATTGTTGAGATTCTTTTGTCCCTTGAATATAAATTGCTGTATTGGTTCCATTTATAGTGATGATAATAAAATGAACGTGAGCAGTGAAATATCTGCAGGTTTTCAACTTACCTATTGATGTAGGATGAATAAGAAAGAAAGAAGAAGGAACGGGGAGGAGAAACAGAGAGAAGGGAGAAGAGGAGAAGAAACCAGAGGAAGAGAGGGGAGGGAGAAAACGGCTGCAAGCCACCAAAAAATATTTCAATTCTAATTCATCATCAACTGTCTCAAATGAGAAACAAAACAGAAATAAATAGTAGAACACAAACCCTAAAGAGAAGGGTTTGGGCCAAACCAACTAAACAAGCCCAATAACAGAAATATAAATAATAATCCAAATAGAATATAACTAATAGTCCAAAAAGAAAATAAATAGTAAATGGAAGAAAATAAATAGTAAATGGATGTCCGCATCAACTCTCCCGGGGTGGGAGAAAAACTCGACCCCGTCGAGTGGATAAATCAAAATGTTGTAATGAATCTGATGCTAAAGGCTCCAAGTCATGACATGGGGGACGATCTTTCTGACGAACCAAATATCAAAATTCCACAAATGGTGACGATGCCAATTGCAAATTACCCGCAAAAACATGAGCTGACCAAGATAACTTAGGCGAGTGAGAATTTTGCTGACTCTTATAAAGCTCCAATAAATTTGGCTCACACTACTGAAGTCTCTCTTTGGGAATCCATGTACCGTCAGAATCAAGTTGATCCATCCAACGAACAAGAAAGTACTGAATCTCTCTATTATTGGTCAACACAAGTTGTTCATCCAAAATAACATCAATTTTATTTTTGTGTGCTGTGATAGGTGGGATTGAAGCAGACATGGCAAAAGAGTCAGTGTGGGAATTCTCATGTGGGAGTAGAAACGGGTCATCAAAAGGGCTAAAATAGCCGTTGTAAGCATCGAAGTCCGTAACAAATAAAATAGGGTGGTGGTCATAATGTGATAAAAGGTCATTGACATAGGCATTTTGACCAACATGCTTTGAAATTTTAAAAAGATCAGCATTACACGCTTGCAATATAACATAATCCCCAATATTAAATTCAAAGTATTGTTTATGCCAAACAACTTGAGGTATATATAATGCTTTATTTGCTTCAAATTGTTTATTGATCTCAATATGCAAGCTATGAAAATGTGATACAACTACCTCAACTGACATAGACACACAAGCATGTGGGTGCATGAGAATAAGGTCTAGAGGTTTCAAAGGTTCACAACCAAGAATAATTTCAAAGGGTTTTAAACCTAAAGACCAGTTCACTGGATCGTTATATGCAATTTCGACAATTGAAGGGATCAAGTCCCAATTCCTAAAATTTTTCTGGACTAGAGACTGTAATAAATTGTCAGGATTTTGGTTTGCACTTTTGTTTTGACCATCAATTTGAGGTTGGTCAGTGGTGAATAATTTTGCCTTAGTGTTAACCACAAGTGACTGGATTTTTCAAGGGTGACTGGTGACATCATCAAGCTCTTTAACTTGGGTAAGGGTATGATATATAACATGTGATCGAGAATTGTCGTAGATAAGGGATATAGTATCCAAAGTCTCGAGAAGAGTCTGGATTCCACCTAAGGAAGTGTCCTCACTATTATCCAAGTCATCAAAATCTTCAAGTTTAGGTTCATAGACTAGATCTTCTAACGGCTCCTCTATTACATTCTTTCGTTTTTTCATGACTAGGGTTCGATTAGGACATTTAGAAGAAATGTGACCAAAGTCTTTACAGTTGACGTACAACAAGTGAGAAGAAGACCTTGGAGTTTCAGAAATTCTACCCTGATTTTTCAAAATTGGAGAACCATTATAAGGGGGAAGTCCTAGAAGGGACTTAACGGGAGGAGGTGGAGCCAATGAAGCCAAATGATGATTATCAAAATTTTTACCCTTATTTTTCAAAATTGGAGGAATATCAGACGGGGGAGGTCCTAGAAGGGACTTAACGGGAGGAATTGGAGCCAATGACACCGAAGAATGATTGTCCATATGCTTTCTACATGGAAAAGAAGATCTTAGACTATCACGACCTTTACAATTATTTTTCCAAATAGGAGGAACATTAGACGGAGACAGTTTTATGATAGACTTATAATGAGGCGACACTAATGAGATGGGTGAGCGACGATGACCACGCTTTTCATATGGAGTACTAATAATTAACTCATAATCTCGAGCTAAAGAGTAAGCGTGATCAAGAGTAGTGACACCTCGAAGGAAAAGCTCGCGCTTAAGATCATCTCTCAGACCTTGGCTAAACCTACTCAAAGTCGTGCTCTCATCCTCAATTAAATGACATTTGGTTCGAAATTCCTCAAATTGCACGATATACTCAGTCACTAATTGATTTCCTTGTTTAAGGACATTCCATTGAGTAAGAATTTCAAAATTATCTCGTTTTCGCTCACGAATCTGATCCCTATTCCTATCCCTATCCTTACGATCGGGTCGAAAGTATTTTTGATTACCTTGTCGACAATGTTGTCTATTATGGGACACCTTAGAATTATCAACATCAATCGAATGAGGGATGTGTTTAAAATTTTTCAAACTAGCAGATAGGACCTTACTCTCTTCAAGAGTAGCGGTCATTTGAGTTTGAATAGCCGCTATTTGTCGGGTGAGTGCATCGAATTGTGAGGGGTTCATGTTTAAGGTACTAGAGCTAGAAGTGACAAGATGACCAATATGTAATTACATGCGCTGTAATAGCAACTTAATGACATGCAATAGAGAGATCAACGAACAAAAAGTGCAAGTAATGGAAAATGAAAATTTGAGCTAATTTTTTTTTTTT